GTTCTTAATCTTCATGCTTATAGTTGAAATATTTTTGTTGGTCATCATTTGTTTCTAACTTTGTGGTGTCTCTTATTGTGTAGAAGCTTAAACTTTATTCTGGAAAATATACCAATTTTAAATTTTTACCAGTTGCTTAAAAATGTGGTTACAAACACTAAAATATGAGCATGTTCTGTTATTTGGACTGTTTTATATTTTATCTTCAATATTAAAATCTCTAATGCAACTGGCATATATTCTTGTACATTGTATGTGGTAAAAATCTAAGTTTTGAATTGTTTTTCAAAAAGTACAACTGATTATTATAACATTTTGTATTCATCAATCCATTCTTTCTCCATTGATTTGAAATGGCAACCTTCACCTTATTTTAAGATTTTCACACAGAGATAATGCTGTTTTGTTGATCTGATTTTGTAACAGAACCAACCATGCCTTATTGTTTTACAGGCCATTATAATACATGGTAGAATAAAATTTTAACTTCCAAGCAACAAACTCTTATTTCAGTTTCATAAATTAATTTTACATCTTTACTGTATTGAACTTTCTCATCAGAAATGTGTCTCCTTATTTGTCACAATTTTCTTTGATATCCAGGAGTTCAGCTAGGTCTTATACACTTTCATTAGTTTATATTTAGGTATTACATTTTTTTTTACAATTGTAAATGTCATATTAGTATTAATTGCATCTTCACTTGTTGGTGTGTCTATTTTTAATCTACTTCCAATCTTAAATGATTGCATTCTACTTCCAATCTTAAATGTAAGCCCTCTTTATTTCTAGAACTCAGGGCATATAAATAGGTTTTTAAAATGTAATATTTATATTTTGCTGAAAAGTTCAATGTAGCACAGGCTATCTTTTTTTAACTCTAAGAAAATAACATATAGTTTTTAGGGGATGGCTCTGCGCAGAATCTTTTCTCTATATGTTTGTTTCTCAAACTACAGAAATAGAGTTTGGCTTCAGGTGTTTTGTACAAAAGAATTACTTCTTAGGGAGGGGCACCCAAAACAAAACCACACCAAGCTAACCTCTTAACTCCAGTTGTTTGTCTGGTGTGCGCTGGTATTCTGGGCACTCTATTGAGTCATTAAAAGAATTCTGAATGATTTTTCTATTGTAAAATATTTTTCATTACACAGCAGCTGTTTGGGTTACCTGTGTAGGTTTTGCTGAATCAGCACAAAGACTCTCATTGGTGGCTTGGTCCATTGACGAGTTTGTACCTGACTGTGCTATTGGAAGGTCAGGTCTGATCAGAAGACTGTTGAGATGAATTCTAAGATTGTACCTGTGTAGCTGACTGAGTGGCTGGGTCTGCTACTGACAGAGGCTCTCTGGCAGAGAAGCAGGATTGGAATAGAAGATCCTGAATGTGTTGTAGGTGAAGGCAAGTCAGCTACATGTCTGGAACTCAGAGCAGATCAAGGTTGCAGAGTTACAATTAGTAGTAGTTGGTGTATTGATGGTAATTAAAGCTGTGGGCATAGATAAATTTCAATAGGAAGAGAATATCTGGATCCTAAGAGCCATCAGGATTTGTCAGTGAAAGAGAATGAAGAGTCACAAAGTCATTGGAGAAGAGGGAGAGATTTCACAAAGGCTGTATCTGAGGAAGAGAGCCAATGGCTATGTTGATTGCTACTGAAAGGCCAGATGTGTATAAGATAGGAAATGTATCAGGCACTTTACCATTGCTTGTACAAAATTCTAGACACCTACAACTTACAGAAGGAGAAGTTTATCCAGGCTCAGAGTTTAGTCCATGGTTGGCTGGCTTGAAGGCAGAAACTCATAGCAGAAGGACCATGGCAGAGGAAAGGTACTCGACACCCAACATCCAGGAAGTAGACAGCAAAGGAATGACAGAGGGACCGAGTACACTTTCCCAGGTCACATCCCAGTGACTTGCCTTTTCTGACCAGACCTCACCTCCCGTTAGCGTGGTCAGCTACAAACTCCTTGACAAGCCAATCCACTGAAGAGTAGAACTCTACCATGATCCATCAATTTCCACTTGAGACTTTGAGGGAAATCAAAGCTCTAAACCATAACAGAGAAGGCCAATTAAACTAACCAGTGCAGGGACACCTCCAGTCCCATACCCATAGTTCCTGGAAATACGAGATTTATATGATAGGATTTCTTCCTTCACTGATGTTACAGCCTCAGTTGGGAGAGATGGCATAAGTGCAGTTTAAATGATACAAAGTGACCATGTGACCTATGTCACAGTAAGTTTTTAATTAACAACTAAGAGATGAGCAATGATCATTTAGACTTTCTATATGCCAAGTAGTGGTTATATATATGTTATATAATCTCAATCTTCAAACTGCAAGTATAATCCATAGATATGAAAACTGATCTCTAGAGATTATTTGCTTGTGTCATGATAAAAATAAGGGATTATACATTTTGGTCCTTATTTATACTTTCAGTTTCTCATACCAGAGAAAAAATGGGATATTTACATATATATGTCCATTTACCTAGAAATGTCTAAGCTTATCCTTCTTTATGGCTGAGTAATACTCCACTGTATTAGAAAAACACATCTTCTTTGTCCATTCATTAGTTGATGGGCATTTGGGCTGTTTCCAAGATTTAGCTATTACAAACTGTGTCACTATGAACATGAGTGAGCATATATTACTGTGGTATGATGCTTTTAATTCTTTCAGGAAGATCCCATAAGGGGAATAGAATGGAACCTTTAGTTTGAAGAGGGTTTGAATGGAACCTTTAGTTTTAGTCTTGTGAGGAAGCTCCACACTGATTTCCACAGTGGTTGCACCAGTCTATACTCCCACCAACAGTGGAGAAGGGTTCCTCTTTTCCCGCTGCTCCATCAGCATTTGTTATTGGTTGATTTCTTGATAATCATCATTCTTTCCAGGGTGAAGTGGAATCTCAGCATTATTTTAATTTGTATCTCTGAAATGACCGGTGATGCTGAACATTTTTTCATATATTTACTTGCCATTTGTACTTCTTTTGAGAAGTGTCTCTTCATTTCAGATGCTCATATTTGGACTGAGTCTTTAAATTTGGGTGAATCTGATTTCTTTTTTGAGTTCTTTATGTATATAGATGTTAGTTCTTTATATATTCTAGATGTTAGTTCTTTAAGGAACAACTGACAAAGAATTTTTTCTCACTCAGTGGGTTGTCTCTTCACTCTGATAATAGATATTGTGAGATAGTAAGAAAATATTCAAATGGGAAGGGGAACTAGGGAGGGAGAAAGCAAAGAAGGAAAAGAAAAGGAAAGAAGGAAAAGAAAAGGAAAGGAAAGGAAAGAAGGAAGGAAAGGAAAGAAAGGAAGGAAAAGAAAGGAAAAGAAGGAAAAGAAAAAAATGAGAAAAGAAGGAAAAAATGGAAATAAAGCTTTTGTAAATAAAGAGGGGAAGTAGGGTTGAAGGAAGGAGAGAGGAATGAACAAAAGAAAAATCAATATATATCATGTACAAGTTCAAATTCCCCCATGAATGTGATCATTATGTATATCTAATATGTACCAAGAAACTTAATTAATTAAAATACACACAAAATCCAAGAGATTAAATTGAAACTCAAACTTGGATCTCTCTGATGCCCAGTACAGGTTTTTCAACTCTGCCATATTCTATAACAGTGATCTAGGCTTTCAAAAGTACACATGAGGATTTGATAGTATTTGATCTGAAATGCTGTTGGAATCATAGCTACTATGTCAAATTATTGCCTATAGCAATGACTCTTAAGGGGTAGTGCAGCTCTGAGGCCTTTGGACCCAGTTAGTGGTGACTCGAGGTCAAACTTGTCTTTACAATAGCAATAAAATGTTATTTAGTTTTGTACTTTATTGACATTTGCATTGATGGTTCAAAAGGAATGAACAGTCAAAGTGCCTGGCCTTACTACGAATCAAGGTAGTGTTACCAGCCCTGATAATGGTCACTGTTTTCTTCACTGCCACATCAGTAATGCACTGCACGTCCTTTGAACATTCTGGAACAGGAGGTGGGAGCACTCATAAAGCCCTTCTGAGCAGTGAAGCACCACAGTTGTCTTGTGAAAAACACTTGTGTGGTTGTTTGTGTTGTTGAACGGACTAGCTGGCTTCTCATGGAAGACCATTTTTCCTTGACACACTGACAGATAAATGGGATTTTTCAGATTTGGGCATTTGGCAAACATTTTCTTAAAAATGAACAAAGTGAGCCAGAAAGATTTAAGTCAAGCTGTCAGCATTTCTTGCCAGTGATTAAAAACTGAAATTTCAATCAAAAAGCAGAATTTTGGAAAACTTAAATCTGTACTGTGGTCTTGACAGCTTGTCAACAGTAAAAGAGTTTTCTGATGACAGAGCTTGGAACTGATATTAACAAATGCATGCTTTTGATATTGTTTGATGAAATATGTCAACATTTAGAAAATACGTGTTACTTTGTGAGATGCTAGTTTTCAATCATGCATGGATAAAAATAATCGTTGAAAGAGTGAGACAGATTGGTGAATTTTAGTTTAACAGGATAGAAGAATTCACTGAGGATTTCAGATTCCGTATTGAAAATAATTTTTAAGAAACTACCATTTGTTTAGTTTCAATGTAGCATCAAAATAGCATAGTTATCTGAAAAGGCTGTGAGTATACTCTTTCATTTTCCAACTCCATATCTGTGTATGATCAGAGTTTTTTCTTATATTTCATCCAAAACAATCTATAGAACATCTTGAATGCAGAAGCAGAGTTAAGAATCCAGATGACTTTAAAGAATCCAAATGTTAAAGATATTTGTGAAAGTGTTATACAGGGTTACTCATTTTTAAATTTTTTTTTATTTGGGAAACATGGCTATTTTTCTAAAATTATGGCATGTATGTTAACATGTTACAAGTCTGATGTAAGACTTTTAATAAACATTTTTAAATTCTGAATTTTAATTGCCGGTATGGAAAATATTACAAAATAAAACACTTTTCGTATCCTCAATGCTTTTTAGGGGTGAAGAGAAGTCTTGAGGACCACACTCCTGTTTAGAGGTCACAGTACCGCAGCCACAGAGGTAGCACAGTGGGGCAGCTGTTCCCCGTCTATTTTCTCTCCACTGTTTAAAATGAGTTTATTCTACTTCTCTGTCTTTAAGGGCACTAACTACATCTTTTGTAATCACTACTCTGCTATTGAGATCATTTGGCATGTTTTTCATTTGAGTTATAGTTTCAAATTCTATAATTTTCTATTTCTATTTGGTCCCACTTCTATTTATGTCCTGAAGTTCTCCATTTTTCTCATTTGTTTCAAATGTATTTGTGGCTGTAGAGACATTTTTATGATAACTCCTTTAAAATTCTTGTGAGATACTTCCAAATCTCATTCATCTCTGTATTGGTGTTTGTTGACTGACCTTTTCTGGCTCTTGGTATCATGGGTGATGTTTTGTTGTATCTTGCATATTCGTGCCTGTTGATTGTCTTCTTCTGGTTTTAAATGGGAGAATTTTAGGACATTTTGATTAGCATGTTAGGAGATTCTCGATCTGATCTAAGTCTTCTATCTTAGCAGATCGGCACCCTGTTTAGCTTTAGCATAAGTTCTTATCTACATCTGTGGGCTTAGTTCCAATGTTGGTTTGGTTTTCTGATCACTTGCAAGGTTGTCCTGCTTTGCTTTGCATTTCTGGTGCTGCTCAGGCTCCTGCTCATCCCTTGCTGTTGCTGTCTGGATCAGTCCTGGGCTTGGGGAGGACCCTGATGGAAGTCAGAGGGACAGAGGCCTTTCCTAATGCTGCTTCAACATCTGTTTGTGGGGAGCGGTCTGGGGGAACCCAGGATGGTGCTGCTTCTCCTTTTGCAGGTAGATGGACCCACAGTAAAGACCCAGATGTGGAGGAGAGTGTGGAGGTCCTAGGACTATGCTGCTGATGCTGCTGCAGGAAGATCAGGTCCTGGTTGTGGAACAGGGGCTGAGAAGGATGAGGGCTTTGCTGTCGCCCATGTGACATGTGTATGTGCTGGGGGCTGGGACAGCCCTGGGCTTCCACCCATGAGTGACACAGCCGGCAGGAGCTCCAGCCCTGAGACGGGGCTTTGGTCTTCTGTTAGTTCTTGCTTGGCTTTCCTTTTCCTGGTCTTTTGGTCACAGAGAGCAAGCTTTTCTGCTTTGCTGTTTCTAGTCTATGCCTTTTGGTGATTCCTGGCTGCAGATACCTTGGTTCCAGTTTTGTAGCACATGGAAGATGAAAAGAAAAGCCAGAAGCAGGTACAGTCATTCAGGGCTGTGACCCTAACTTTGGGAGGCTGAGACAGCAGGGTTGAAATTTCAAGGCCAGCTGGGACAGCTTAGGGAAACCCTCTCTCAAAAAATAAGAATTAAAAAAAGCTGGGTTCAGTGTTATAACCCTGCACTCAATCCCCAGGACCACAAAAAAACAAACCAAACCAAACCAAACCAAACCAAACCAAACCAAACCAAAAACTCAGGAACTCCTATGTTGCCACTTTTTGCCAGGTCTCTGGCCAGTCCATCTTCTTCTGCTCCACTGTTTATTATTTTTAATCCTTGTCAGTTAAATAATTTCAAGGGAATTTAGAGGGAAAGATGAGGAAATATTCTCCACAACCTTGGGTGTAGGCATTACTGCATATTTTTATGCTGAGAAATTAAAAATCTGAAAAATTTCTGCTGTAGACGGTCACTATTGAGCATTATACATTTGTTTGATTTGTAGGAATTATGTTGGAGTATGAGACAAATGGAGAATTAAAGACCAAATCAATTGATTTACTTGAGCTTGGTCCCAGGTAAGTGAACTATGTAATGCCTCAGGTATTGCACATCAAAAATTTTTGTTGGGACTGGAAGAATTCAAAATGATTTCACAACATAGGTGCACTGACACTATTCAAAATATTCTGTTGCATAAGACATGCTATATTAAAGTATCTCTAACTCCAAACAAAACTTGTTTGTTAGTTTTTTGGTCAGTTCTTTCAAGTCAATCTTGTATAGCATTCTTAAAGGTGATGTAAGCTGTGGCTTAAACAAAAAATAGCTTTTGTTTTTCAAGCCAATAAACTATTCTTACATTTATTTTAAAGTAAAGTTTTTAAACTCTAAAAAAATTTTGTTGGAAAACTCTGATGTAGGCTGACATGGATGGGCTGTAAAAACTCCATGCAATGCATTAATGAAAACATTGTTTTTCTGTGCTGTATTGTATCTTATTTGCTCCAGTGCTCAAACAGAAACAAAACAAAGCCCAAAACCTCAAAACACTGTGTTTTAAGAGTTGTGGCCAAAGACTGTTAGCAAAGGGTGCTCTCATGTAGATGGGCTGCTCTGTAGCTTTAAAATGAGGTGCTCCCAATACTGAGGTGCTTCTAGGTCCTGAGAAAGGGGTCTCTTACTCTCGGAGCTGCTGCCATGTATTAGTCAGCTTTTCTGATGCTGGACCACAATAGCCAGCATACAAAATTTAAAGGAGGATGGGTTTATTTTTGCTTATAGTTTCATAGAATTCAGTCCACATGCACCTGGCTCCATGGCAGAAATGTCATGGTGGAAGGAACGGCATGGCAGAACATTGCAGCTGTGAAGCCAAGCCAGGGAACAGTTCTAAAAAAAGAAGGGAGAAAGGGCCAGATGTAATATCCAAGGTCATGCCTCCATGACCCACACAGAAGCAGGCTTTACTGGTTCCTTTAGTGACTCCCAAGCCTCTCCGTTTGACACAATGAAGCTTAGTCAGCACATGTGAACTTGATATCCAAACACACCTCCTTCAGCCACACTTAATCCCTGAATGAACACGCGGTCAGAATTACACCTAACATGATACAACTTTCTTGCCTACAACCAAGAATGCAATAATCCCTGTCTTGGTTATTTTGTTGTTGTTGTTGAGACAAAATATTTTTTCTTGGTTATTTTTTTTGTTGTTGTTGAGACAAAATATCCAAAGCCCAAAATTAAGGAAGGAAAAGTTTATTTAGCTTACAGTTTGTGGAGGTTTTAGTCTATATTTGGCTGGCTGTAAGGCAGAAGATAGCAAAGCAACAAGAGCAAAGGGGGCAATAGCAGTGTGTGTAAGCCTTTTTTTTTCTTATATTGTAAGAAAGCTACCCCCACCTAGGGGGTGGCACTCACATAGTTAACCTTTTAAACTTCTTACACTGACACAATGAACAACATCCTAGAGCAGGAAGGGCATGTCCTTTGCACCACAGGATGTAGAACTGCTGAGTCACTTAGCCAAACCTCTAGACTCCTCAAGTTAATACAATGCATCAACCATAACAATCCCTTCCATAAAATCTCAACAGTTCCAACATTTTTTTCTAAAAGTCCAAGTGAAAATCTCTTCTAAGACTGAAAGTGGACTCTTAGGTGTAAATTTCTATAAACATCAAAAATAAGTTTCATAATTCCAGGGTATAATGGCACATAATTCTCATTATAATCATAATTCTCATTCCAAAAGGGAGGGATGTGGGAGTAGAAAAGAGTCAGAACAGTGAAAGACCAAAATTCCGCATGACAAACATTAAGACCTGCACAGCTCCATATCTGCCATGTTGGGCACCTAGGGGTGAGATGTGAGCCCCAAATACTTGGATGGCCCCACTCCCATGGCCTTGCAACCATAGGGCCTGTCTCTCTCAGTCTGGCTCCACTCACTGCCTGCAGCTTTCCTTGTCACATGTTCCATCTTCCTGGGATATCTGACTTCTTGGGCTCTTCACTGTACTTTTGGCCTCATTTTTCACAGCTTTGTATAATGCTCAGTCATTGGCTCTTTGCTTGGCCTGGCCTTTCTATGAAATCTGGGTGGATACCTCCCTAAACCTAGGTGCCAACATTCTACATTCCTGTAAATCTAGCTGAAAGTAGCCAGCAGTACACATGCCATAACCTGAACGTTACTCTGCTTTGAAGTTTCCTCCACCAGATCAATTAGTCCACTGCCGTTAATCTCATTCTTCCACAAAGTCTGAGGACATCAGCATAATGCAGACAGATTTTTCTTGCAAGAGTATAACACACATAGTCTTGAGTCCAACTCACAAAATAATCCTTGATCCCAACAGAAACATCCTGAGCCTGGCCTTTACTGTACCCATTCCTATCAGCCTTCTGGTCTTTTTTTAGCTCTGACAAGTGTCATCTATCATACTCTGTATAACCTTGTAGGCTTTTTCTAGCTGAATCCTCCAAATTTCCAAATTTCTACCACAAACCACTTCCAAAGGTGCTGAACCACATTTCAGGTAGTTTCACAATGGCTCCCCTCTGGTACTAACTTTTGGTATCAGTTTTCTCCTCACTGAGACTCAATACCCAAAGCACACAAATTAAAGTTGGAGGGGCTTAATTTGGCTCACTGTTTCAGGGGATTCAGTGTATGGTTAGCTGGATTCAAGGGAGAAACATGATGGCAGAAGGATGTGGCTGAGTAAATATGCTTAGTTCATAGCAGCTGGGAAGCAGAGCAGAAGAACAGTACCAAAAAAGGACGGGGTGGGGACCAGACATAGACCCTAAGAGGACATCTGCATAATCTACCCAGACTCACCCAGAAATATGCTGTACTAATCCCTTAAGCAGCTCCCAAGCCAATCAAGTTGACACAATGAAATTTAACTGGCACTTACCCATTGGGAGACTTGTGGTATGAGGAGAACACTTGACTAAAGGTAAAGACAGGGCATGGCGTGGAAGATGTGGGTCTAGGTAGGGAGTAATATTGCTCTTGGAGAGACAGTGGGAACCCAATTGATATTTTTAAATATCAAAGAATAAACAATTGACATAAATAATGATGTTGAGTTTTTTCTATAACAATCTTTGTTGAACCTATTTTCTGGGACCAAGAGGCCTAAGATCAAATAAAACGCGTTACTTTTGTAAGTGGAATGTGACTATGTTAGCACACAGAAAACTTGTTAGACATTCTGTGCACCTCTCACATGCAAAGTTTTAAATTCTGTATGAAGCCATAGTAATTATCCTTACTCTTAGTGGGCTTATTTCCAGTTGAGAAATAAGTTGTACAAAATACAGTATCATTTTAGTGTTACAGGTAAACCTCTATATGAGAGTAGTTTCTCTCTAACAATTCAGAATAAGACATAGTTTTTTCTTTTTAAATATAGATCCTGAGGTCCTTTCATAAAGGGCCTATTGGGTGTGAACCCAGGAGCTCCTAATTCTCTGACATTCAGGATAGCACAGTCTCCTCAATAGTGCTGTTTTCCTGAGGGGATATAAGAGACAGCCATCCGTAGTCATGACAGTTTACTCACAATAATCCAAGATTGCCACATGGAAAGTAAATAATTCTCTCAAAGTTTAAAATTATGGATCCTGTTTCTAGATATGCCCAAGAATCTGGGAGTATTGTGTTTATAAAAGTACTTGCCTTGTCTGTGACATACTGGGTTTATTGTGTAAGAGCATAGCAGTTAGAACACTGCAGGATTAATGCGTCCAGATTAAGTATCTGGTTGGCTTGTATCTCATTAGGAAGTCTGTTTTGATTGACACTAGCTGTTGAAAACCTTTTCAAGAGGTATTACTAGTTATTGAATTCTTATGAGAGTCTAACTACTGTGACAGCTGAATACCTCAGAGTTTATTCCTGTAATAGTAATGAATGACCTCTGATTTATCTCTGTTCAAAATACTCGATAGTATCACAATAAATTGTATTTTTTGAGAGCTGGTAGCACATCTTTGACGTTCCAAGGCCTATGTTATATCAGTTATTCAATAAACATGAACTGAATAATCAGGCTTCTCGCTTGCAAAACTGGAGTCTGACAAATCTTTATTTACAAGGAGAGGAGAGAAATACTTACGAGCAGTCAGATTTCAGGGACAGAGAGCGTAAGATCGAGGGTTACTGTACAGTGATAACTGTGACAGATCAGTACATGCGGCAGGGTTGCGCAGAAGCAGCTCAGTCATGCTCCCTGTGCTGATGCCGATTGGGCAGCAGAGTCTCTGGCAGCGCAAAGCGGGGCCCAGGAGCAAAATGTGAAGGTTAGAGTCCCTCATGGGGCGGAAGCGGCCAAAGTCTCCCACCCTCGGCCTTGCTCACCGTGGGCTGGAGGTCATCTAAGAGGCTGTTGCCTTGCCTCCGATTCTGAAGTGAGGCCTAGAGGAGGTGTGACTGGAGCTTTTCAGCCAGCTCATCTCCTCCCCTGAGCTGGCTTTGAACCTCTTTTGAAAAGGACTCCACAGAGCACATCATCCAGACGTGTTTGTGACATGGTTTGAAAAATGACTGCTTTGGATGCTTTATGATATATACACATTAATACTTATTTTGGGAGCTAATATTAGTCTGGACTAGCAAAATTTGCCGGTTTCTATGGAGTATTCGAGTATTGGGGATGTCTTAAATCTGTCTATACATTTCTTCAGATTAGTTCTATCTTGGGGAAATATAGTAACATAGTTCATAAGAAATATTAGTGGTAATTATTATAATTCTTCAAGTGTTTATGGTTAGGCATTTCATCTTTCCCTGAAAGTATTTAAAATCCAAATTTTTGAACTGCTGTTTCTTCATGTCTAAAATAGTGATGATAAAAGCATTGTAGCCACTTATTATAGGATTAAATAAGAGAAAATATGTGAGGTTGAAAGTGCAGTACCAGGCGTATTCAACACATGTTCAACTGAAAGAAACAGAAAAAGATAAAGAATTCATCGTGCTCAAAACTACTATGCTACCAGCCTTCCGAAGTGTCTGAGTATAGGTTTTGGTGCTATAATAAAAGCACCTGCAGTTGGATAATTTACAAACAGTAGATGTCTGTATCTCATAGTTCTGCACTGGAAAGTTTGAGGCTGAGGTACTAGTGGGTTTGGTGTCTGGTGAGGGCTCACTGCAGAGGGAGCCTTGATGCTCCTGCTGCAGAAGAAAAAGGAGCTTCATCTTCACATGGCAAAAAACAAAAGGAAAAGGGCAAAGGGGAAAAACTGCTTCCATCAGCCCTCTGATAAGACACCACCATCATAACTTAGTCACCCGAGGTTCCCATCTCATAATACTGGTGCTCTGGACTTTAAGTTTAACAGGATCTTAAGTGGGACACACTCAGTCATAGAGCTGGGTGAGCACCAGGGAATCTTGGCACATATGCCACAAGGAAAGTGTCAGTCACAGAGAAACCTATTCCAGAAAGTATAAACATGTCGCTTCTGTACCACCGCTCTCCTTGTTGATCTGTGTGATTTCCCCCAGTAACCTGTTGGGAAAGAGCAGGATGCTTTGTAATACTTTATAGATGCGCTTCGTAAAGCAGTGCAGTTCCTCCTGCAGTGAACATAAGTCCAAGTATTAACATGAAAAATATTTTTTGGGGTGAATTTCAGTACTGATGTCAGCGCTTTAGTAGAAGAGATCCAGGAAGCAGAGCCTCTGATCACGGCTTCGCGAACCGAGCAAGTCAAGCTTTTAGTACAGAGACTGCAGGAAAAGCTGGGGCAGAACAGCAAGCACATCTTCTATCTCTTTAAGGTAAGATGTGTTTAAAATACCAGGCAGAAGAAGTTCGGTAAAGTACCTGATGTTTTCCTCTTCTCCTAAAAATAGTTTTCTGTTTCCTTGCAAATGACTTTTTTCAGCAAAAATGCTTATGTGGAATTTATTTCAGTGATTCACATATAACTTGCTAGACTTAAGATTCAATATTTGTAAAATGAGTGAAATTCAAAACACTCATTTCTTGAGATGCTAAATATTCAGAGGAAGTTTTACTCCCTTTTTATGTGATAAATTGAAGGGATTATTACCATTAAGGTAGTTTTAAGTTATTAAGAAGTTAAAATTATTTCCCAGTTAGACCAGTTTTAGTAAGTTATGTTTCATGGTTTATAAACATTTCCTATTCTTAGCTTCCATGTGAATTTCAGGAAATTATTTATAGCATTTAAATGACTTTAATCTGATGTAATATGTTTATTTCTTTGTATAGATTTAATAGCTAAATTAAATATATAACAAGTGAAGTCATTTAGTACTTTTATGAACAACTTTATTATTTCAAACATTTAATCCTTTATGCTAAAAATTACCTCATATTATACTACTTTTATTTTATTACTTAAATATAATTATAATAATAAACATAATTTTTTATGTACTTGCCTATTCTATTTGACATAAAATATTCAGGTCTTCTTTGGTAGTCATCCATTTAAATTTCTGGAAAAAAGGAAGTTATTTCTGTAATATCTCTTCTTCCAGCAGGTGGAAGTGTTTAACTTCAAACGTGAACTCTAAGACTACAGTTACCATGCAATCAGTCATCCAGAGGCAAAACTGTTGACAGTGAGAGGAGACACTATTAGCAGTTAAACTTTGGTAGCAGACATAATGGGGAAGATCCTACCCTGGAAAATCACCTTTCAATAGATTTTTCAATTTTTTATATACCCCCAATGAATATTCATTAAATATTCTCTGTATGTTAGACAATGTAGAGATTGAAAGATAAATAAGGCATATCTTGACTTTAAAGGAAATTTAGGATTCAAAAAGCAATAATCCACTGTAAAATACATATGGATCATATTTAATGTAGTTCTTATATACAGTCTTTATACATAGTCATCTGTAAAATATAAAGGATGTTAGAAATTAGTGCTAGTTATACCCTAACAAGTTCAATAACTGTGTATTAACTTCACCAAGGAAGTGAAAGAGCTCCACAACAAAAATCCAGTACTTTGAAAATGAAGACTAAAGAAGACATAAGAAAGTAGAAAGACATCTCTTGTACCTGGATAGGCAGACCCAACATTGTCAAAATGGTCCAAGTACCAAAACTGATATATAGATTTAATGTAATCTCAATCAATATACCAACAACTTTCTTCAGAAAGTTAGAAAAAACAACCCTAAAATTTACATAGAAGCAGAAGAGACCCAGAATAGTAAAAGCAGTCTTGAGCAACAGGAGCAAAGCAGGAGGTATCACAGTCCCAGTACTCAAGATATATTAAGAAGCTACAGTGACAAAAACAGCATAGCACTGGCACAAAAACAGACACACAGATCAGTGAAACAGAACAAAGAATGTAGAAATAACACCAAACATATTCAGACAGCTGACGTTTGACAAAGGGACCAAAAAGCACCTTGGAAAAAGATAATCTCTTGTTGCTGGGAAACCTAGGCATCCACATGTGGAAGACTGACCCTAGACTTCTCACCGAACCCTGAAATAAAATCAAAATCTGTATTTTGATTCTGATCTAAGGATCAGATCTCTAGACATCATAGCAGAAACACATAACCTGCTGGAAAATAAAATAGGTAAAGCACTTGAAGAGAGACACAGGCAAGGGCTTTCTGAACAGAACCCCAATTACACAAGAAAAAACACAATGAATCAACAAATGGGTTTATAACAAATTAAGTTTCTGCACAGCAAAGGAAACAGCCAAGTGATGAGACAGCTTACAGAAGGGGAAAAAACATTTGCCAGATACTCCTGGGACAGAGGACTAGTGTTTAGAATATATGAAGAACTCAAAAAACCTAGATACCCCCAAATAAAAGACCCAATCAAAAAACTGGCAACAGAAATAAACAGACACTTCTCCAAAGAAGTAAAAATGGCTAAATATACATGAAAAAAATGCTCGACATTTCTCCCCATCAGCGAAATGCAAATTAAAACAACACTGAGATTCCATCTCATTCCAAAAAGAACAGTTATCATCAATAACTGAAAAAAAAAAAAAAACCAAAAAAACCAAAAAGAAAAAACAACCCAACAAATTCCAGCAAGTCTGCAGTGGAAAAAGGAGCCCTTCTACACGGTTAGTGGCCATGTAAACTAGTACAACTACTATGGAGATCAGTGTGGAGATTCCTCAATTTCTAAAACTAGAAATTCCAGAGGGGGTGGGGATTTAGCTCAGCGGCACAGCGCCTGCCTGGCAAGCGCAAAGTTGTGAGTTTGATCTCCGGTACCAGAAAAAAAACAAAAACAAAAACAAATAATAATAATAATAATAAAACTAGAAATTCCATTCAACCTAGCTATTCTTCTTCTCGTTATCTTCCTGAAAGAATTAAAGACATCAGATTATGGTGATCCATGCAAACCATGTTAACAGCAGCACAACTCATAGTGGCTAAATCTTGGAAGCAGCTTGTATGCTCTTCAGTAGATGAATGGAGAAAGAAAATACGCATCATTTGCAGGAAAATGGCTGCATCTTGAGACCATAGTGCTTAGCTAAATAAATCAGGCACAGGAGCTCAAATATTCATAGTTTCTCATATAAGAAACCCAAAGTATAAATAAATTAGAGTAAAAGATAGATAATACAAAATATGGAGATAGACCCTTGTAAATGGGAAGGGGAGCGAAAGGTGGGGGAGAGGGGAAGGGAAGGGAATAAAAACGATTAAAATGTGGTATGTACATGCCAACGCCCAACGATGGATGCATTGATTCTGCACCGTAAGTATGGACTAACATAAACAAGAAGTTAGTCCTATTTGATGTCTTATTTAATAGCCATTATTTATGGTAAAGGTAAATTGGTAGTGATTGAAAACCCAGAGCCAATTCAATTCTTAAATTACCTGTTATTACACAATAAATTATGGTTTGGCTTACTAATAGAAGGTACAGACTTTCTTCATTTGTTCAGATATTGTCTATTGTACATTTATTACCTATAGTTAAGATAGTATTGAATGTCTTCACTTGTTTCAAGTTGAAGCTAATGAATTACAATTAATTTGGTCTATGTCCAGAATAAAACGTGTTTTCCTCCATTGAAGGTTCTCAGAGCACATATATTGCCATTGACTAATGTTGCACTGAACAAATCAGGCTCATGGTAAGATGTGTTTTTATTTCTAATTTTTAGCAACCAAAGGATCAACATTTCCGAATGTTTGTCAAATGCATTGCTTGGTTAGCTGTCTCATGTGTTTGTTTCTCTTGATTGCTGTATGCACTTGAACACAGAGGAGAAATGTAAACTCTTTCTCCCTCCACTCTAAGCTTGCTATAATATTCGTGTCACTTGAGTGAGTTGCATTCTGTGATCTTAGCAAACATGGCTGTGAATAATATGATTTGGGAATGGGTAGGGTGAGTTTACCTTGTGCTTGCCTTGGTAGCAGGACTGATCAGACAGTGGCCACAACATGGTTGTGTGTGATCAGTCCCTTCAGAGCAGGCCCAGGGTGTTGGGATACGATGAATAGGACCTTCAGCCCAGTGGTCAACACATGCCGTAGGTCGACTAGGCATTCAACAAGCTAGGTAGGAAAGGTGAGCTAGAAAGCTTGTTTTGACCTCCAGTCATAAATATGAATATTCCTGTAGTTCTTGGTTTTTCTAGGACCACTGTAATAATACAAGACAAACTAAATAACATACACAACAGAAATTCCTCACTCACAGGTCTGGAGGTTAGAAGTTCAAGGTGAGGGCTGTGAGGGAGACTCTGTCGGCACTTCTGTCCTAGCTCCTGGTGGTGTGTTTGGTGTGTAGAAGCACCGTGCCGATCTATGCCTTCATCTCCACAAGGTGTTCCTTTGTGTTATGTGCCTGACTCCAAGTTCCTCTTGCTTATAAGAACCCCAGTCATGTTGGGTTACGGTCCCATGCTACCCCTGTGTGAATGCTTCTAAGCTCATTACACATTCACTGATACTATTGCCAAATAAAGATGGCGAGATGCTAGGATGTCAACAACTGAACTTTGGAGTTGGGCTGGAACACAGTGCAGCCCGCAGCAATGTCTATAATACATACACAAACAGTTGCAAATATAGGCCTGCCTCTACCCAGCGGTGAAGGAAGCCAGGGAGAAGACGCTAGGAGGAAAATGCTTTACTTTTAAAATTTTTATTAAGTTTAGTGGTACAACTTAAATATATTTAATGATCACATTCATGGCAGGGAATTTGTACCTGTACGTGATATATCCTGATTCCTATTTAGGAAAATGCTTTAAAGATAACCAAAAATGCACTGTCTTATCAGTCTTTCTGTTAAGTCGGGTTTACACATCAGAATTTGTTTCCAATTTTTATCATTACTACTAGATATTCAGACTTGCTTTTCAGCTTTGAGCATTTTATCCTAAATGAAAAATGAAATCTGTTTGCTTTATTTTTGAATTAATGTTTCTATTTCAGAGACACTTTAAAAAGAAAGTCTGCTCTCTAGTCAAGTACTGGAAGAATGACTAAGGTGCTGATATGTTACTAAGAGACACTGGATCAATATATCTTTTCTGTAGCGGAATAGTTACGTCAAAGGGTGTGTTGGTTTATTTATTAAAGTATGTGTTCTTTAGACACACACATGTTAGCATCCTAGTCATTGTTTCAGGTCCTGGGAGGATGGGGCTATATCAGATTTGCAGAGCGCTAGAGTCTTCGGAGACAGCAAGAAGGTGAACGTGGTTGATCAAGTTGCATCATGGGAAGAAACTGAGGTCTGAGAGCAAGCCTAGGCTGCTGGCACTGAAGGTTTAAAAAGTGCCCCTCTTCTGTGAAGTGAAGTAGATTTTTAAGGACCCTGCATGAGCTAAGATTCACTGGATGGGGGCTTCATTTGTTTAGGCAAGAAGTGGAGGCAGTAGGGAGAATGGAGTACGGTAAGGAGGTACTGTGAGATTGTATTAACAGAAATTGCTGATGGAGCCCTTTGTAGAGTGTCAGGGAAGAGAAGGATGGAGGGTAATGGTAAAATTTTATGATTCTAACAACTGAGATGATGCTGTTTTGAGATATATGTATATATGTATATTTAGTGTCATAAAATATTACTATTATGCACATTCTTTAATTATGTAAGATTATGTAAGATTACCTCTTATGAGAATGTAACAATTATTAGCAGAATTACTCTGTTTTGTTTAGTGACCAGCCTTTTGGTTTGAGATAAATATATTTTGAAGCCAAAGGATTTAGACATTACTCGTAATTTGTCTGGTAGACACAATTTTCATCACTGAAAACAAGACAGAGGAGTTATTATCCTGCAGGTAAAAACGGAGTCTTTGTTCACACAGTGCCATTCTCATTCTGTGATGTGCTTCTGGTCCTTGTGTTAGCTTTATCACAGGAAGCTACGACCGGACGTGCAAGGTCTGGGACACCAGGTCCGGAGAGGAGCTGCACACGCTGGAGGGCCACAGGAATGTGGTCTATGCCATAGCATTCAACAATCCTTACGGGTCTGTTTTCTCAGTCACTCACTCCTTCATTAATTCTTGTGTTCATCCCTCCAGCTATCAGGGGGTGAAGAGAAATAGACAGGATTAAAATGTATCTAGTGCCTGCTGTGTGCTTAGGAAGCCTTTTCAATACCTCCTTCAGTGCGTAGACAGCCTTTGGGAGAGGCATTATTCTTAGAATATAAAGTTCAAGTACTCTTCCCAGGGTCACACAGAGGAGAGCTGTGTTCACTTTCAACATGACTGACTCTCTAGCCTTGGGAGTTCTCTGGTATTCAGGTCGTTCCTATGGATGATTCCAGTGGCTCTGGATGGGTGACGCGCGTGTACGGTCACGGCATGGCTCCCATCTCAGCCTTGCCAGGTGGCAAAATGCGTGCGGGAACACGCGAATTAATCGTGCCAGGAACATTGAGAAGCCAAGCTCTGGGAGCTGACTCAGTAGATGAAGCCTTGTTCTCTGTCCTTGTGCACAGCGCACTACTGATGTCCGTGCCTCCTGGTGCATTTAACTTCTCTTCCCATGATGGGAGTCTAAGCTCAAAAGCTACTTGCATTTGTCCATCAAGTGGTGTTTCCATTCCAGTTATGTAATTCAATGTGGAGTTGAATTCCACAAATTATTGACATAATTAAAAATATTACAAAAGTTAATGAAAGATGAGCATGGGCAGAAAGCTGTTGTTTTCTATAAATACAGGCAAGGTACATCTTTGAGAAAAGCTCTTACTAACTGAAGTAGTGGTGAAGAGCAATGTTAATTAGAATATACATTGTGAAAATATGGGAAAATTCTGCACTCTGATGGTTCTACAAATGTATTTAAGTTCTTTCAGTTTCTTATGGCATTTTAAAGAACACTGACCTGGGCATGGTGGCACACGCTTGTAATATCAGTGCTCTGGGTGGCCGAGACAGGAGGGTCACAAGTTTGAGCCCAGTTTTGGGAACTAAGCCACGTGAGGAGACCCTGTCTGAAAGTTAAAAAAAAATAAAGACAGACAGACAGAAAAAGAGGCCTAAAGATGTAGCTCAGTATGAACACCCTGGTTCAATCCTTACTACAAGCAAAAAAAAAGAAAAGAAAACTAGAAATTCTGGAGGTTTGATATGATTTCTGTTGGATTATGAATTCTAACGGTTAATGCAGAAGCAAAGAAAAGGTTTTGACCTTTTGTCAAAAGATTAGCAAATGAATGTATATTTGTGCAACATTTTTCAGTACATATGCTGTCAGGATTTACAGAGGAATAGATTTAACATAGGACATGATTTATAGAATTATTTTAATATTCACTCAAAAAGTCAGATGCAGAAGAGTGCAAGAGATCTTTCCACATGCTAGAGACCTGAAGAATCCAGCTGAAGTCCTGGAGCCCATGGCAGTGTCCTGCATGAGTCCAGCTGGAGACCTAGAGCCCGTGGCAGTGTGCTCCACAAGCCCAGTGAGGGCCTGGAGCCCACAGCACTGTGGGATCTTTTCTGGGAAGGCCCAATGGCCAGTGGTGGAAGCTAGAAAGTCTGCGCTGGTGGGGTGAAAGATCTGTGCCAGAAGACTGCGGGATCTGCACTGCAGCCAGGTCGTGATGCTCAAGATGAAGACTAGAGAACCTCCAAAGGGAACCACAGCCCTCCCAGGCAACAGTGAGAACCCGAGCTCCTCCTACAGTGAGAACATCCAAGTTCCTGTGGCCAAAACCTGCCACGGCAAGCTTCTCCATGAAAATCAGCCGCATACAGTCCTCCCTGCCATTCTCCTTGTATGTCATTTTGGCAGCTATCCTCAGGTGGGCCTTCCACACCCACAACCATGACGATTCAGCCTAGCTGGGCATTCCTGCCCAAGTTAACCACTAATCAGTCCACCACAGCATGTATCTTTTTTTATAATTTCATGAATGACTTTTTCTCTGGTTCAGTACATGTTGTTCACCTGCTATAGTATTGTGATGACTAGAACAAAACAGTAAATAATTTAAAAGCCAAGAAGAACAGAATATTGCGATTTTTCCTGGTCTGATTGTTTCTGGAGGTGATGTGAGGTAAGAACCTAAGCCTGAAGGATGAAAGATGGAGGGGTGAGAGGGCACCAGGGGTGAGGGATTTTCAGCAGCTCAGGATTTTCAGGTGGGGATGCAGCAGCCGGCTCAGCAGTCAGTCTCTCCAGGGAGCATTTCCTGCGGTGAAACAGGAGCGGCTGAGGTCAGAGCATCTGTGGAGTTTAAACTGTTCTGCCAGACCGAGTGCCATCAAAGCGTTTGGAACAAAGGCACGGAGTAATGAATGCACTGTTCGGAAGGGTTGTGCTGGCAGGGGGAAGGATCAGAGGCTGGGGGGTGGGAAGACGCAGGAGGGAAGGGATTACAGACACCGCTCGGGAGACACGGAAAGCTCTGGCAGAGTGGCAGGAGCACTAGCGGACTCTTCTAGACATTTGATGCACTCAGAGCCGAAATTTTACACTCCGATTAAAAAAATTGATGCCTAGGTCTCTAATGTCATTTCATCTTTTCAAAGTGTAATGCTTTCCAAACACATTAATTATGATGGCACAGTCAACCTTAGGTGACACATTAAGTGGTTAAATACGACAAATTACAGACAATTTGACTTTGATCTACACATTTTGTTGCTTTTCTTGGACAAGTTTTTATAATACAGTACCTTATACCAATTTGGCGGAGTAAAAAATTAGATTAAATTTGTAAATGGTACTGCTTTACACTTCTGGTATAATTGATACTTTTACTGCATTACAATTCTCTATAATATAATGTCATTTTTAATAGTCTATTTAATAGACATGATATATGTTGGGTGTCTGTCTGAGAACAATATTTTCTGGGATTTGAGAGGTGAGGAATGTGTTCTGGTCCTATCAAAGTCTGATCAAGAGCTCTGATGGACATCCCTCTTGTTAATTATGTAAGCAGTTAACTCAGTCTGCTGATTTATTTATAAGGTGTGATCAAAGGATATGGTGAACATTTTATTTAAAAATTTTGTTACAGTAAAAGGTACATTGCCTTTAATTCTCCTCAAGATACTCTCCCTCAGTACAAACATATTTATCCCAGCATTCTCACAACTTTCTGAAGCAGTTCTGGAAGTCCTGCTTTGTAAGTATCTTTAGTTGTGCTGTCCTGGCTGCTTTGACGTCCCGAACTGATTTACTTTCACTGTCATTTTGACATTGAGGAAGAGCTAAAAGTCATATGGTGCCCGATCCTGTGAATCAGGTGGACGAGGACACACTGTAGTGTTTCCGTTTCTGTTGGGTAGCAACATCCTTAACCATATTTTTTATCACACCTCATAAAGACACTCATGAAAGAAGACTTCCAGGAGTGCTTCAGAAAGTGGCAAGAAGGATGGGAGAAGTATGTTAGGTTTGAGGAGGAGTTTTCTGAGGAGGGGGTTAATGACAATGACAATGTGTCTTTTACAGTAATAATTTTAAAAACATTTGATCATTCAATGTATATATA